GAGGAACCAAGTACAAATGTTAAATTACACAAAACTGGACTCCCAGGTGCTAAGTTATAAAGCTCTATATTTTTTTTATATTTTTATTTTTCTCTCACCTTCTCCATTTTTTCTTTTTTCCCTTTTTTCTTCGTATTTTTTTTTAACAAGGAAGAGACTTCAGCCATACCTTTTAGTAATTTTTGAGACTTGATCTATACCTTTTTTTAAATTTTATTGTTACCTTTTTTTACATTGTACAAAGGGGGGGGGGAAAGGAATCTAGCAATGGGAAACATGAAATGCAATATATACTATGTATTATTATCTGTAACAATTGTAACACTTATAACACAAGCAACTACATTCCTGGAACCAAAGTTTATCCCAGAGAAAGGAAACGTATGGGAATATTTAGCAAGGGAAATACTCAACACCACTAACTTTTGCTTAGCAGGAGGGAAATCAGTCAAGGACATCTTAACCACAGGCCTAATGGGAGTGGCAACTAGACGACATAACATCATTAACTACACCACATTTAGAAACCTTCCTGACTCCTACGAAAGCATTTTTAGCTGGGGCCACTCTACAAAAACCAAAGACCCCACCATGTACACCCTACACATTGCTGCAGTAACTACCTCTGAGAGATGCTTTAATGTCACTGGGTGCAGCACACCTAGGGTCACAGAATGCACCAGCCTTAGCAACACAGAACTAAAATGCAACTACACAGAGACCATACCATTCTCAAAAGAAGCCAGAAGCACTTGTGAGTCCTCCTATGGCTCAAATGGCTATTGGCCACCTCCTCCTGCACCAAAATGAAGGGGATGTTCTGGGTCTTGGCTTTGAATTTTCCAGTGCTGGATCACCCCTACATCAGGCTCCTCCTTTTGCAGTGGAGACAACTTCCAACTCAAGATTTTTCCCACATGAAGGACACAAGGAATTTGTCTTGCTTTCTCTGGTGCTTCTCCTATATTAAAGTTTGCTGCTCCTTGTTCTTCTCTTTTGATTCTATGTAACCACAGAGACACTTTTAAGGATCCCAAGTCTTCCTTTGTCTCTGTCTCCTGCCATTTTCACTCTCATGGTACTAACTTCAAGTCTCTCTTCCAAAGACTCCCTTTCTCTAGCAAATACAAAAGAAAAATAACCTGCCTATTGAATCTGTTCTAATTCAGTCTGTGTGGAAACCTATTTGAAGGAGCTGTGTGGGCTATTGAAATATTTTTTCAAAAAAATGATAATCAATTATAAAGTCTTATACAATTAAATGATTTTCCATTCTTCTTTTTTTAGAAGCATTCCCTCTTTCTGTCTCACCTATCATGGAAAGCCTTCTCTAAGATCTACCTACCTAATAACTAATTAAATATAACACTTCTGCATCATACCAAAGTCTTTTCAGGACTTGCATTATTGATAGAAAGATGTACCAAAAGTGAATGAGTTAAAATACTTACAATTAATCAGTTAACAATTTTTATTTTTCATCCAGAGAATATAAGGTAATAAGATTGTGGTTTCTTCTCCAAATCCCAAAAACTTTAACCTTAGGCTGTCTACTATTGACCTCACCCCTTTCCTAAGAGAGACGTGCATAAGCACACCAACCTACCTATTGTCCCTGTCCTATTGGTTGTTTTTTCTTATATGTATCCATTTCATGTATTCATAACCATGCTTATACTTATACCTGCTATCTTATAATTGCTTGACAAAATAAATAAAAAATAAAATATTTTCCAAAAAAGAAGTCTGACAAAAGCAAATTATGACATACAAGCAGTTTCACTGTATAGAACAGGGAGTCAATCAAATTTATTCCAGCTGTCACATATATCAAGTGTTTAACTTGAAATTTGCAAATGAAGCAGTTAAATTAGGGGTGTCAAACTTGGGCCATCATGGCAGTATCATGTGATGTATCATGGCTTTTTCCCCCTTCACTAAACCAGGCCTGGGTTTAGCCAGTGCATGATGCATTCAGCCCGTGGCCTGTGAATTTGACAGCCCTGAATTAAATGAAGTTCAAATTTGCTTTCATTTAGGTTGCCAAAATCAGAATTTGAGTACTGTGGTATTCGAAGGAATTTTATTAAAATGCTTTCAACACTCTTAACAAGATTTAAACTATTTCTCATAATACCTCTGGAATCCAATTCAGCTTTCTTGAAAACTGAAGTAAAAGATTCATCTTAGTTTCATTCTGACCTACATTCATAGGTGGGCTATTTTTGAATCCAGGACTCACTTTGGATAAAACTAGAGCTCACAGACTTCACTTGCCCCATTCTTCTTGTTTAGCTAGCCAATCAAACTTCCCTAGCCCTTGTTTTAGACAAAGGACTATTTTTCAATAGGTGTGTTTGGGGGATGCTAAGAGAAGGGAAAGTACTAATTTTTTAAAAAAAAGTATGCATGCTTTACAATGAGCCACATGGAATCAACGTCACTTGATCTCAATAAATTTAGGCCTGTCTCTCAATTCTTCAGCTGAACATACATGTATATTTTTATGTATATGTATTCTTCTGTCATCTTCCAGATCCCTCACACATAACCTTTCCACTTTCCTGTTGGAACACCTGATTCCCATCACCACAGAAGGCAGAGCAGGAAGGAATTTAGTTCTCCTCTCAGCTCATTTTCTCACTCTTGCCCTCTATCATATTAATCCCTGGAAAACTTAAGTCATACAAATCCCATCTGCAGAAAGAAGAAACCACATCTGGACTGTCAGTGCTTCTTGGTTCAAACTCTTGAGAATGCCCATGATTTGATAGTTTTCCCACATGATGAACTATTTGAAATTATTTAAAAAAACATAATTGAGTTCCCAAATTCAGCCTGGAAGTAGCATTGCTTGGGGAGGGAGGGGAGAGAAAGAGAGCACCCTGAGGTTTGTATCTACAAGCTAAGTTCTAATTGCACAACATTGGTTGTGCAAAATCTTGTACCTTATGACCACAATCAGGACCAGAATTTCCATTGTTAAATAACGCAGTTATTAAGTGAATAGTACCTGATTTTATGATCTTGTTGCTGCAGTTGTTAAGCAAATCCAGCTTCTCCCATTGACTTGGCTTGTCAGAAGCTGTTGAGAAGTTTGCAAATGGAAATCACATGACTCCAGTATGCTGCAACCATCATAAATATATTCTGTTTGCCAAGCACCCAAGTTTTGATTAAATGTTGGGGAAATGCTGCGATAGTAGTAAGCGTGAGGACCAAGCATAAGTCACTTTTTTTCAGCGCCAGTGTAATTTTAAACCATCATCAAATGAATGATTGCTTGCATCCATCAAAATTAAATAAAAGCCTCTACTCTGGTGTTATTTAGAAGAGTTCTTCACCTTGGTCTTCAGTGAGGGAGAGCAAAACCCCTCACTTAATTGTGTTTGCCATCTTTCATCCTTATCCTTCATTGCAATGTTTTTCATTCTTGGCTGCTTGAAGATGTGTGGACTTCAACTCTCAGAACTCCATAGCCAACATTGAGAAACAATGCATTATTTAATGTCATGTTTTGTTTGATTTTGAGAGTAAGAGTTTGGTGTCATATAAGTTTAATATGTTGTCCTTGCTATAATAGATACTGAGTAACTTCTGTGTGTAGAACCTGTCTCTGGGTCTGTGTGCAAATCCTTAGTTTCTCCTTAGTTGCTCTCCAGTAAAATGAATCAATAAAGTCCATTCAAGCAAGAAAGAGAATACACGTGTTAGTGATTCACAAACATTTTCCAAACATCATGACACCTTTACTTTCTTAAAAAAGACTGATGACTCCAAGGAGTTTGGGTTTACTTGGGTTTACTTTATATAGATATTTACTGAGAAATTTAAAACTGAGAAATTAAAACTGAAAAATTTAAAGATATTTATTTGATCTTTGAAATTTTTGAGGTCAAAAAACATTTGGAAATCCGCTGCTGTAGTGGTAATTTGGAGTTTGAGCCAAGGGTAAGATTCCCATTGACAAAACCAAACATTGTTTGGTTGAGGCACAAACACTTTCAGAAATCCATGAAGATAAAACGTTTTTCTGAATTACAATGTAAACTTTTATCGTTGAAGAAGAAATGGGGTTTTTTTTATTTGAAATCCCAGTTTTCAGTTTGTGCTGTAACATATTACACAAAAACTCTAGAAAGAAATTTAATCCGGGTTCAGAATATTCACATAAGGGGACTCTATTGAAGATTCTCAGCATATTCTCCAGAATTTTATTTAGGATCCAGACCACGTTCTTTCATTTGTACCTCCCCGGAACTTTCCCACCTGGGCCTTTTGTTTGTTTGTTTCCTCCCCGAAAAAAGAATTGAAGAAGAAAAAGCTATCAGTACATTATAAACTTTAGATGTCCGTCTGGCGTTCTCCGAGAGAGCATAAGTGGTTTAGCTCGCAACGGGCTACAAGAATCATTTTCTTGTTTGCTTTTTAGAGGTTTTTTATTTTATTTTTAGGAACAGCAGTTCAATAAGGTCAACTCCGGTTTAGAAGATGAAAATGAAAAGGCATGGTTTGAATGTAATCTCAAAGGAAATAAAATACGAGGCAGAACGTCTGGGAATAGTGTATATCCCGTGATAGTATATATGTCCCATGATCAAACTATCATGATCATGATCATATGATGATTGTCATTATTATCATTTCTGCTACTATTACGATTATTCCGTTGTCAAGGCAGGTGTCTGGAGACAATCAGTTTTCCAAAACTCTTCCTCTTCAAACCTTAAACTAGGGCCCGGATCTGAAACCCACGAAAATAAATAATAATAATAATAAAAAAATCCGATCCTGGCGGAGGTGGGTGGGAGACGGGAGAAAGGGTCGCGCTAAAATTCTGGACTGAAAAAGGGTTAATAGCCTGGCGACCACGTGGGAAACAAGGAAGAGGAGGCGGCGCCTTCCTGCTCCGCCTTTGGAGTGGTGAAAAAGGTTCGGGGTAGCGAGTCCCTCCCTCGCCCGCTTAAGCAGCCGCATCTGGTGCAAGAGGGCGGGAGGGAAGACCAGCTCTCCCTTGCAAGGGTGAGTTACAGGACAGAGGCGGACCTTTCCTTCTTCTAAAGACACGTGCGAGACGACCAGGAGGAGGTGGTGGCGTCGGCGGCAAGGTAAGGGATTAGGTGGGGAGGGCGCTCCTTTTATCACCCCCCGTCCAAGGTGAGTATAATATCAAAAGATCGGAAACTGGTGGCTGGGTGGGAGAAAGCTTAGCCATCTCTTTGCCCCTCCCATCCCCAACCACATCAAAGAGGCAAAATGGCTGCATTCCCCTTGTCTTGGTGTCATATGGGGGGAACGAATGGGTTGGAAGCGCCCCGAGAGGCTCTGCTCCGTGGGGCGTAGGGCAGTCGAAAGCCCGGCTTTGCAAGAGAAGGGTGGGCGCAGCAGATAGGAAAGTGACTGCGCGGGGTTGGGGAATGAATGGCTCAAGGTCCTTTCCGTGGGGGTGCGTGCCTCTTGCAAACGGGGTGGGGGCCCCGAACGGGGTTTGCAGTGGGAGAAGCCCTTTGCGGGTCGGGAGGGGGGTAGACGTTTTAGGAAGAAGGGGAGGAGGGGAAGAAAATGTTCTCCTGGAAAGCGGGTGACAGGAAGTGGAGATGCAATAAACGAAGTTGGAAGGGGAAAGTTAGGGGCAGCTGTGTTCGGGAGGTGGGGGAGAACAGGAAGAGGAGTTTGCAAACCGTAAAATGGAGGAAGGGGTTTTTAACGTTTGAAGTGGGGAAGGGAGAGGAAGGTTCGTTTTATGCAAACTCAGTTTCAACAATAAGGTGATGTTATAAGGCCAAACCCTGTTTGGGAAAAAGTGACATGACTTGCTCATTTAGGAATAACTGAAAATGACCTGCCTGCTTCCTAAACCTGTGACACCGAATGAATTCCCTAAAGAATCAGTCAGAGCCTCCATTCCAATTATTTAAAAAATTGTGTGGCTCTTATATAAGAGTTGCTGCTATGCAGGTACATTAAAAAAAACCCACAATTGATGAGGTTAGTAATTAGTAAGAAGGCCTTATCCTCTGCTCCTTTATCTTCTCTCTAGGGAATTTTATGAATATTTTAGGAGGGGATGCATTTGTGAGCCAGATATTTCTCTGGGTATTGTTTGGAAAGTGAGAGGTAGAATTTTGAATTTCTTAGATATATATCTTGTGAAAAATTCCTTTGCCTCAGAGGTCTATGATTGAGTTGGCAAAATAAATCAATGAAAATAATCTGTTTGATGTTTTTGCTTGTTTGTCAAAACCCTAGAGATTGCATCCAGTAAATCAGAATCTGTAAACCTGACAATTGTTGATTCTGAAAAAAATACCCTTTCCATGTACAATACATCTAAATGTGTAAATGTAATAGGCAAAACTGCCCCTGCTGTTACTGTTGCTTGTTTTCATAATAGGTTTTGTCCTGGATAGTAGCTTTATATTTGATCATTTGCATTTTTTGAAAGAGGAGGCTTTTTTTTCCTTTTAGAAAGATTAAATATCTCGATGATTATTTGGAGAACCAGAAACATTACTTTGTGATGTTTCAGTTGGGAAGATGTAGAGCCCTGCTCCAGATTTTCTTTTCAAATTCTTATTAATATTGACTGAGTAACTCTAGTGGAAAACCCAGTTATAAATCAATACTTACAATGTGACAAGGAGCAATAATGGACAAGAAGAATATGCAATTTTTGAAATGAAAAATTAGGGATTTTTTTTCCAGATTTTACCCATTACTGCTGGAGTTGAAAATGAAGAAAGCTTCAAAATTGTTTTTTCTTTTTTTTTGGGGGGGGGGGGGAGAATCTTTAGAATATGATACATTCACCCCAAAGCATTATTGAACAATTGTTTTCCTGCATATCATTGTCACTTATGAATGTGAAATGATACAGTGAAATCAGTTCACGTGTAGAGAAACTAAACATAATTTTCTATGGTCTTGATTCTGAAGTGACACCATATGCCACTGGTGACATCTTCATGAGTGGGGAGAAATGAGAGGTAGCATCCTTGTGATTTTGTGCAAAAATGATTTTTAAATGGAATTGCAAATCTATTTTGCCCTGGTTTGGAAATTAGAAAACTTGAGAGAAAATTCCTGACTTTTTCTGTTGGTTAACAAAGAATTGTTTAAGATTATCCTGGTTCTGTGCATTTTATTTTATTGTATAGATTTGATAAATTATTCATTTTATCACCACCTGTGTGTGGTGATGTGCAAACAACAGACTTAAACTGCAATAAAATAAGGTAACTATTGTGGAACAGGTTTGCTATTTTCTGGGGAGATGGAGCAATATTATATGAGCTTAGGATTTTAAAACATGAGCTGGATATAATATATTAGGTGATTTCTGCAATGAGAACATTTAATTGAGAAATATTGTCATATTGGAGAAAGTTTAGTTCTAAGTTTGGCTTCCAGCATGGTGAAAGATGAGTGAAGAGAACCTTACTGTGATGTGATCTATTTATTAGCTTTTTATCCCAACTTTATTACTTTATAAATAATTCAAGATGGCAAACATACCTAACATTCCTTCCTCCTCCTATTTTCCCTAGAACAAACAACCCTGTGAGGTGAATTGAACTGAGAAAGAGTGTCTCGCCCAAAGTTACTGAGTTGACTTTCAAACCTAAGGTGGGATTAGAACTCATCATCTCCTGGTTTTTAGACCAGCACCTTAACCCTACCTCCAGATTCTAAAGTGGTAGAATCTATGAAGAGTTATTATTCTGAATGTGTAGATTCAGGGAGAGAGCTGCATGGATGAAACCATCATCCCCTGCTCTTTATCCTCACCCTTTCCAAAAATAGATTGGGCAAAGAATAATCACTGTAGCATTATTCCTTTCCCCATTATCTTTGTGAAGGAGTTGTTAACTGTTATGAGGAAGGTTTTTCTTTGACATTAACTCATCTTAAACTTTTCCAGTCTTTAATTTGCCCTGTGTTTTTTTTAGGCAATAGAAGCTTTCTGACTGATGACAACTGCCCCTGTGAATGAAAGCAGGTTTAAATGATTGAAGTATGTTTGAATTATAATTGCAATATGTGAAACCCAGGGGTAACTGTCCTGCTCTTAAAAGTGAAGTCTTTTTTGTCATTTTTTTACACCTCAGGGTAATTTTTTTCTTAAAATGGTTTCTGCCAGGGGAAACGCATCCATCATCTTAAACTAAACCAAAGCAAGCCATACAAAAAAGCCCCTTTTCCTCAGAAATACCTTTCTTTTTTATATGGAATGGATTATGTAAATATGAATTTGATTAATCTCATTTTGTTGACTGCTCAGGTGATTGCTTTTTTTTTGTCTTTTTAGGGAGAAAGTACTCATGTAAACACATTTGGAAAAGCCAAATCCACTTGATATATGGCGGAATCCTGTGACAGAGCAGTTTCCTTGACAACAGTCTCTCTGCCTCCTGGAAATTGTTGACAAACTTTGGCCTAAGCTTGTGGTCAAAATTTGAGGAGGAAGAAGATTCTTCCCACCATGTTTGCCTGTGAGACGTGGGGTATCACTGGCCAAACCTCAGTCTACAATTGGGATAAATCTGTCTATCTCTTAGAAAATAAAATGGAGTCCATACAGGGTTCACAGAAAGTGGATCTCCATTTTAAGGTGCTGCTTGAGCAGGAGATGTATCCAAAGATCACAATTGAGGAGGAGGAAGAGCCTGACGAAGTAGAAGTAGATGCTGAAGGGGAGGCAGATGAAGAGGAAGAAGAGGAAGAGAGGGGAGAGGAGGAGGAGGAAGAAGAGGAGGAGGAGGATGAAGAGGAGGAGGAGGAGGAGGAGGAGGAGGAGGAGGGAGAAGGGGATGAGGAGGAGGAGGCGGCACATCCACAAGGTCCTCAGCAAGAGGCAGTGGGAGCAGTTAATGGAGATGACTCCCTGTTTGTGGTGTGTACTGGAACAGTTGAAGAGCTGCTAGGCTTAGAGGCATCACTAACTGCTGAATCAGTGCAGCTAGAGGCAGCACAACCTCAGCGCTGGGAGGTCCAGTGGGAGGAGGTGTCCCAAACTTCACAGCCTTTTCTTCCTGAAATTATAGAATCGCCATTAATATCACCAGAAGCAGCCACCTCCAATATCACTCAGGTAGTGGAAGTCGCTGCAGCAGAGGTAGAACTAGACACCTTCCCAACTGTGGAGCAACTAGGGAATACTTCATCTTCATGGGGAGCATCTTTCATTGAAGAGAGCCACCAGGACCTTCAACGCTCCCCAGCTAGTGCAGATAGAGGGAGTACTGGCAAAGCACGGACACCTATATCTGGAGGAGGCAGTTTCAGCCTGGAGACTGCCCGCCGGCGCTTCCGGCAGTTCTGTTACCAGGACACTGAGGGTCCACGAAAGGCATGCGGTCAGCTATGGGAGCTCTGCAATCACTGGCTGAAGCCAAAGAACCGTACTAAGGAACAGATTCTTGATGTTCTGATCTTAGAACAGTTCCTAGCCGTTCTCCCTCCTGGAATCCGGAGTCGGGTATGGGAGTGTAGCCCGGAGACTTGTGCACGGGCCGTGGCCCTAGCGGAGGAGTTCCTAGCCAAGCAGAATGAAGCAGAAAGACCAGAAGAGGAGGTAAGATGGCTCAGTCTCCCTTCCTTTCTTTGCATATATTCTTAAGGTTCATTGTTGGGCTATATTATTTGGGGGGGGGACTGGGATAGGCAAGTGCCTGAAATGGGATATCTGCAGCAAGTATGGGAGGTAAATGAAATGGGTGGAGAGTCAAAATATTTTCCTTTTGGAACAAATGATGTTCACACCTGACTGGTAGTAATTACGCAATTATTATTCTTAAGACTTTATGATACTACCTTTCTTTCAAAGCATACAAATCTCAATTACTGCCCAATAAAACATCACAGAGCAATAAAATAAAACACCATAAAATTGAAGAAATATATTCCATTCTATTTCCAGTAGGTAGACAGAGGAGGTCTCAGCAGGTTTATGGCTGGTCCAAATTAGCAGGGTGAATGCCATTTTAAAATATTTCCTTCTATAGCAAGTTTAGACAACTACACCAAACCACACCTAGTACTTGAGGTCGTTCTTCTTCTCCTTTGGCTTGTTTTACTTGCAGAACTATGGGGAGCACCAAAGGTGTGATCATTCCTCTGCAAATGAAATGCTACAATCCACTGTCTCCTTACCAGCCCTATCACACAGCAATCTATGGGCATTGCCAGCTGTCCTTAGCCAACTGTGGCCTGCTGATTCCATATGCTCACCTCACTTCTTGCTACTTTTAATCCATGAGCTTGGAAAGTTGTGGGGGTGGGCTTTTTTTTACAGCAGACAGTCAAGCCCCTGTGCAAAAAATGGGGAGGAAATATGCATGGGGTGGGGGGGATTCTGGCAATGGCTGAATGAGCTGGAGTTTTTGATTGCTTGCAAGCTGTTCCCTGATTTCCTGCAGGGATGCAAACCAGTGGCAGAGACAACTCCTGGTTCAGATTGCTATTGTCATAAAAATATGTTTATAGTCTTGGGTTGATCCTCAACCCCACCTGTGGTTTCCAGCAATGTGGAATCTGTGATCCGACCCCAGTGCTTCTGAATTACAATTCACTGTGTCTTTTTATCAGCCAGACTGATGGGTGTGTTGAGAGTGACAGTCTGTGGAGGTCCACTGGTTTCTGCCTGACCTTTTAGAAAGTTTGTTATGGACAATCTTAAACAGGGAGATGAGACTGATCAGAAGTTCCTATCTGAAGAAACATCCTCTTGGTTGAAGCACCTGATTCATACTGAGATTAAAATGACATTTCTGGAACTATTTAGCTCTTTAGAACTTTGTCCTAATTTACAAATGTGTATTAATTGCGAGCCTGGATTTAAAATGACTCATGGGTGCATCTACCTCCACTGCAGCAAAATTGGAAGCTAAGTTTTGATCTTGAAATGTTTGGGAATTGGAATAGCGGTATAACTGGATGCAGAGCTAGAAACCAGGAGACCGTGAGTTTTAGTCCTTCCTTGGAATGAAAATGGACTAGGTGACTTTAGACCAGTCTCTGGTTATTGTGGGGAAAATACTGTGGGAGAAGTTACGTATGTTCACTATCTTATTTTTAAAAATAAGGTGGGATATACAGTAAATAATGTCCTAGTCCTTGAGAAGAATGAAATTGATGCATAAAAATGCCAAATCCAGTCTAAGCATTTGGGTACTGTGCAACAAACCATCATAATATTTCTTGGCATAACGGTAGACAAAACACGCACGTATCTAGAGAACTGAGTCCTCTAGATGTGTGCGTGTTTTGTCTACTGAAAATTTTCAGCAATTTTATGTTGCAACAACTTTGAAGTTACTGTCAGGATTCTCTCATTACTTGTTTGATCCTTTTATTTAGAGAAGTTGGATGCAAAACTTTTATCAAAAGTGATGAACCTTCAAAAGTCTCCTACTGTATTTGTGAAGACAAGGACATTTTCAAATGTTTTGGCATGGCCTGGGGCAAAAATTGTGGGAACTGTAGTCCATAAGATCCAGCAGGCAGCTGGTTGTGTAATCCTTTTCTATATAGACTAGACCAGATTGCAAATATGCTATGTAGTGATAATTTCCTTCCAGCAGTGTAAAATTTATCTTTTTACTTACATTCAAGCTTGATCAATTCAGAGAAATTCCAAATTTTCAGAGTTTGGTTTTCAATATACATCAAACTTAGAATTGTTAACTTTCCCCACAGAAGCCAACAGTTATTGTTCTAAAGAAGGCCTGACTTCCTAGGAAAAGGGTACGATTATTTGACATGTTATCTGCCACTTTGGTAATAGATTGAAAGGGTTCGCATGCCAGAACATCAAGCAGCTCTGAATTCCTTTCTCCCTCCCAAGGAAGAGAGTGCAGGAAAGGGTCACATCAGATATACCTCACTTTCTTGGATGTCCCTTTAAAGAGAGGAAAGAAAGAAGCAGAAGCTGTAGTTTTCAGAGGCAATCAGGCTTCTTCTTTAACATCTGAGCGATTATAAATAGTTGGGATGCCAAAGCTGAGGCACCCCAGCAGGAATGAGTGTGGGCAAAATTCTCCCCTCTCTCAGCAGGAAAAATTAATGCATTTTTTTTCATCCCCAAGATATATTTTTTTAGAAATTGCCTCAAACATCAGGGATATTCTGTCTCTAAACCATCATCATGCTTATAATTTTTAACAACCAAACTCTTGATCCATGTTTTCATTTCTTTCTCAGCTCCTCAAATCTCTGAACTGTCCACTGAAATCTTTAAATTAAAACATTTCAACATCCTCCCTCCTGTCTCTTTATTTCCTTTGTCATGATGGTCTTCCACAAAGAGGTTTGCATCATCTGCCTTCAGTAGATTTCCAGAACACTACACAAAGGATGCTGGGAGCTGTAGTCCTGCAGCCTGGAAGCAAAGGGTTTCTGCTAAGAAGTTAAATTAGGTTTCTTCTAAGAGCTCCTTTCTGCAGAAATGTAAACTGTAATCAGAAAGTAGGCATTGATATAAATTGTGACACTGGAGCAGAAAGTCACAATTCATGATTTTTTTATTGGAACTTCTTTATGGAAACCAGAAGCACTTGAGAAAATGATTAATGTAGTTTCCATACTGTACAACAAACTCGGCCTCCTAAGTCTGATTGCATCCCCCATCATCCCCAGCCAGGTAGCTCTAATATATCATCTTTCCCGAATTCTAAAATCCATGCGGTAATAAAGTTTTTCTTAATTCTTGTAGCATTTCTAGAATGTCAGTCTTCATTATTTGTGGAAGCCACAACTATATTTAATTGATAATTTTGAAATTTGATTCCACTGATTGAAATTTAATTTTTGCTTTGGCCTCAGCTTCTAAAATGCCTATGAAAGGACAAATTTAGCATACCTCAGCCTTCAGATTATTGTTGTGCACCTTTGCCTTAAAAGAATCAATAGAAAGAAAGGGTTACGCAAAAGTCATAAAAATCTGCAACTGAACCAAATTGACCCTCAAATCATGTCTCAAAAAATATTTATTGAATTTATAGTCAAAAGCTAAAAGTTTCAGAAGACTGTAGTGTTCTTCTGAGATTTCTGCTATTTCATTTCATTTAATAGGAGCATTGCAGATTCTGTGTTGGAGGGAACAGACTCAAAGTGCTCTTAGGTATTGAGTTAGGTATTGGTTTTTTTCCAGAGAGGTTTTAATTTTGATTTTCCTGTTTGAAAGGGAAGTGGAAGAGTCCAAATAGAAACTGATTCGTGGGGTTCTCTTATTTTTGTTGTTGGCTCTTATTGGCTCCAGGTTTAGTGAAAGGGTTTAGAGCAGGGGTGTCAGGCTGGATGCGTCACACGCTGGCCACCTCCACCCCTGGTTTAGCGAAGGGGGAAAAAGTTGCAATACATCATGTAATGATGCGACACCATGAGTTTGACACACCTGGTTTAGAAGTTTAGAGAAAATATTAAAATCAAAAATTAATACAACAGGAAAGCAGAAGAAAAACCATGTATGCTTTTGGTTGTCAAACTGTCCAAGATTTCATGTACCAAGACTGCATTGAATAATCAATTGAATTAAAACTTGTGGCGTGTTTTGCTTGCCATCAGTAAATGATACTAAAATGCAAATAAAGCAGTCCACATTCTGAATAGCAACTATAGCAGAATACTATGAGATGGGAAGAATCTATATTATGATTATGATGATATCCCTCACTTTGTACAACTCAAGCTGGCATGCATACAGTAATGCTTCTTTTTCTTAGAATAACAACCTTGTGAGGTGGGTTATTTTAATTCTCCCTAGTTTCATAGAAGGTAAGTTGGTAGGCATCTTGGAGAACATCTAATCCAACTCTTGTTCAGTTCAGGATTCTAGTACAGCAGGGGTGTCAAACTCTATTTCATTTAGGGCCACATCAGGGTTGTGTTTGACCTTGGGGTGGGGAGGGCAGGGCCAGTTTGACAATACTCATGTTGGGGGCGCCTACAGTGACCTGAGTGCTCTACCAGTGAAAATGGGCTCCCAATCTCCATTTACAGCTGTGATGGCCTCCTGCAAGCCTCTGCCAGTCCTTTGCTGTTTCCCATGGGCCAGATCTAAGTACCCCATAGGCTAAATGCGGCCCACGGGCCTTGAGTTTGACACCCCTGTACTATAGCATAATTTACAGATGGCCAACTACTTTCTACTTAAATCCACCTAGGAATATGTAGTTTTAAAATAAGATGTAAATATTCCCTCCACCCCTGCCAAACAGCCAGGTCTGTATGGGGAATAGATCCCTATGGGAGAGCTGCAGCCAACATTTTTATCCCCTTTTATTTTCTTTTTCAGAGAGGAAATGTTTATTTTTCTAAATCTGCTTAGGTTAGTATTAAACAAATACTAATTAGTTTAGTATTTGACTTCTTTGTTAATTGTGCCTCTTTGATGAATCTTCAGGATTTTTACTTATTTGAGGAAGTAGTGGTGGCATTTCCTAATGGAGACCAAGTCCTTTCAAATACTGAGCATGGAGATATATGCATGGAAACTGGACAACGGGATGATGTAGATATATGTTTGCTTGGTAAGGAACTATCAATCCACCTACTTAGCGCTTTGAATTGCTTCTATTTCTCTAAATGCATTTTTAAAATTATTATTGATATATGCATTCCCACCGTACAAGGATTATATAAAATGGTAAACATCTAGGAACTAAATGTATAGAGTAATATAAATCCTAATGAAGGACTAAGTATACTTTTAAAAATAACTCAATTTAGCTTTTCCAATCCAGTGTCCTCCAGATGCCATCATTCATAGCCATTGTTTTGAAGAACAAGCAATGAACCTTAAATTCTGTTCTTTTTCTTCTTATATTCTTCTTAAATTTGGTCTGCTGTGATATCCTCAAATCTCAAAGGTGCATTTCCAAAAGGCAACTGGATTGTGTGTTTTTTCCTTTGAGGAAGATGTTTTGCTTCTCATCCAAGAAACTTCATCAATTCTGGCTGGACGATTGGTTGCCGGGGAGCGGTGGGGAGAGAACTGGGAGAAGTATTCTGACAGGATGTTCAGGAGGAATGTAAGGATTATATTTCTTTCCAATCGTCTGGTGGTTAGCGCTCTGTCTGAGAGCCGTTGAGGCCACTTGGGGGATTATCTGTGCTCTCAAGGTCACTTTAATCAGACTGCAAATGGGTGTGGAATCTTCTTGGAACTGCCAAAAGAACTGTGCTGTAGGCAGGAGATAGATGGTGTCATTATCCCTCTCCCTCTTCTTGAGGGAGCACTGTTCAATTCTAACATAGATAGACTCTAATTTGGAAGTCCACATTCTGGATAGAGAGCGGATCATTGGTTTGAACGAGGGGAAAAAAGTTGAACAGCTGTTCTTCAACAGAGGGGGAGGAACATGACCATCTATCTCTTGTCTACAATCAGTCCTTTCGGCAGTTCCAAGAAGATTCCACCCCATTTACATTCTGATTATGAGGGCACAGATATACTCCCAAATGGCCTCAACAGTTCTCAGAGAGAGAGAGAGAGAGAGAGAGAGAGAGCTAATGACGAGATGACTGCAAAGAAATAATCCTTCTGCGCCCATCCCCACCCACCTTTGCCCAACATCCTGTCAAAACTAATCCTTCCATTCCCCACCCCTTCAGTCCAACTAAAACTGAGGAGGCTTCTGGGATAAGAAGCGAAATGTCTTTTTCCTCAAAGGAAAAAACATAATCTAGTTGCCTTTTTAAAAAAGTACATTTGAGACAACTATGACCTGGATGGCTGAGAATATCCACAGACATCCTTCTGAAGTATAATAAACTGTTTTGTATAAACAATAGATTTATTAAAGCAGAATTGAAAGCTGATCATGGTTGGGGATTAAACTCTGGTAAATGCATATCAAAACAAGAACAGGAACATGCAGAGGTGATTTGTGAAGCCAGTAGTTTGCACATAGCAACCAAGTTATATCCCTACAATTTTCTTTTTCTTTTTGGGCTATGATTAAACAACATAGAAATCTTTTTCTCTCCCATGGAATTCCAGTGAAGTGAATTTGGAATAATGTCTTCATTTTCCCTGGATAATGCAATCCATTCCTTTGCTGCCTTGGCATTGGACTCCACAACGTTATCAGGGTCTTTGAAAAATACAGGCAATTAGTAACATGCTATCAGGCAGAAACCTGTCAGCTTTCCATTATGCTGGTCTTTCACCATAATAAAGATTTGATTTGTTAGCTTTCCTTCCAAAAGATCTAAAAAACGTCTTGCGATGGTGAGTATTCTTTACACATCCCAAAGCATGTTTTCAAGTAAGCTTTAGGTTTCACGTTTTCCCTTTCTTGCATAGGTTCTTCTGACTCAGAAGCCACCTGGGATTCTTCTGCGGATGATGGAGGAGAAAGAGGAGGAGGTTCAGGTGAGTCAAAAACTTTCCTTCTGCAGCAGCATGATTTTGAATCGCTGTGATCTTATCTCCCTCCTCCAACCCCAATCTGAGGGCAGGCTTCAGCTATCGAAAGGCTGACCGCCCTGGCTATAACAGTGAAAAGTCTTTATGGTTTTTTGAACTCCAAAACACTATCTCTCATTAGTAAAAAGACATTGGTTTTTGCCAATTGTCTGAAGGCTGCTGTCCTTAATCGCCCTCAAGCTCATTTGGTACTTACCGATGAAGCAGATGAATTCAGATTGTCTTCTGCATCTGAATAATCTTATTTTGATTATTGTGTACCAGACAAATAGAGTATCCTTTCTTTTTAATGCATTAGCATGGGCTTGTTCGGCATGATAATGGTGAAAAGAAGCTTATAATTCTTCCATTTAAGATGATAGTCTTGTGGGGGAGCAGCTGACAGAATTTCAGCTAGGTAGTACAGGTTTTACAGGTAGTCCTTGATTACAATATTTCAGGGATGTCATACCTAAGGCCCGGGGGCCGGATCTGGCCCACAGAGTGCTTAGATCTGGCCCGCAGGGGCGCCCTGGAGACAGCGAAGGACCGGTCCATGGTGCCTCTGCCAGCGAAAACGGAACTTCTGACGGCAGCAGGTATTTTCGCTGGCAGAGGCTTGCAGGAGGCCATCACAGCCAAAAATGGAGCTTGCGAGGGCGGTGAGTGGTCCTCCAGAGCTCCGTTTTCACTGGCAGAGCATTCAGGCCACCAGAGTGACGTTGAGCTGGCCATACCTACCCTGTCCAAACACCCCCAGCCCCTCCCCAGGTCAAACACAACCCTAATGCAGCCCTCAATGAAATCGAGTTTGACACCCCTGGAATAGTTCATTTAATGACCGTTCAAAGTTACAACGGCACTGAAAAAAAGTGGACATGTCCCCTTTTTACACTTACAATCATTGTAGCATCCCCATGGTCATGTGATCCAAATTCAGATGCTTGGCAACTGACTCGTATCTATGACGATTGCAGGGTGCCAGGGTCATGTGATCACTTTTTGCAAACCTCTGTCAAGCAAAGTCAATGGAGAAGCTAGATTCACTTAACAGTTGGGTCACTAATTTAGCAGTTGCAGTGATTCACTTAACAACTGTGGCAAGAAAGGTCATTAAATGGGACAACATTCATTTAACAAATGCCTCACTTAGCAACAGAAATTTTTGGGCTCAGCTATGGTCAAGGGCTAGCTGCAGTTCCAACTGTTGGAAATCTATTCCAGCCATGTTATGTCTAGCTTCTAAAAATTTTCCAGCATTGCTTAACCATCATACTGATAGGAGCTAGGAATATATGCTTTATATAATAACAAAAACAATAACCATCATCATAGTAATATAAACATAATTGAAAGAGATAGAAACCAGATGTCGGGGTTCCAGTTAACACACCCAACAGAATCAAAACTCCAAGGCAGGCATATTCCTGAAAATATAGATTTATTAGGCATGTCCTATTGGCACATCTGGGGAAAACCAGATCTGGAGGATCTGAGGTTTCCCCACCCAAATCAAACCCCAAAATTCTTCCCCTCAGGTCACACATTCATCCCAGCGTCCAACTAGGTCACAGCCACCATCTGGCTGGCTTTGGTCCATGCCTCTCCCAACACCTGGTCGAACGTCCTTGGCTCCCACGGGAAAGAATGTTGTTTTGACTACACATCCCCAGCTATCGCTATCTCCCCCCTCGCTTTCCCACAGCTCAGACCGCCCTGGCTGTGGCAGTCCTGAAGATGCTCCCAAAATGTCTCCGTCTTAAAAGATGTCTTCAGGGCTGACACCAGCTGTACTATTTATGCTGCCTGATTGCATTGCAACACAGGCTTGTACTTCCGGAAAAATGCCTTAAATGTTACAAAGTGGCTACTTCGCCAATTAAAAGACATGTTGTTTTAGTCAAACTTAATAATGAATGCTAATTGTCAATTATATGGATTATTAGTTAATGCAGACTAAGAAAGCAGCAAGTTGTTGTTTTTTTATTTCAGTGATGTCTTATTCTGGAGTAAGTGCATGAGACAGAGGAAAATTATAGTGTCTGAAGCTAGCAAAATTTGGTTGTCTTTATAAGGAACAGAGCACTTTTTAATAAAAACCATTCAGGCTGAAAATCTAAATCATTTCGTGGAACTGCTTGTCTTTTTGATTATCAATTACAGGTAGTCCTTGAGTTACAACAGTTCATGTAGTAATTGTTCAATGTTACAACTGCAGTGAAAAAAGTGACTTATGACCATTTCTCACAGTTATGACCTTTGCAGCATCCTCATGGTCACATGATCAAAATTCAGATATTTGGCAACTAGTATATATTTATGACGGCTGCAGTGTTCCTGGGGTCATATGATCCCTTTTTGGGATCTGACAGGCAAAGTCAATGGGGAAGCCAGATTTGTTTAACAACCGGGTAACTAACTTAACAACTGCAGTGATTCACTTAACAACAGTGGCAAGGAATATTGTAAAATGGGGGGGGGATCAGAAAATAAATATCTCACAACAAAAGAAATTTGGGGCTTAATTGTGATTGTAAGTCGAGGACTACCTATACAATTCTTACCATTCCTGACCTTTGACCAGGGGAGATGGGAGTTAAAATCTCAACCACAACTAAAAAGTCACCAGTTCTTTGCTCGTAGCATCTGCAAGGAGGTAAACTAATACTTTGTGTGAGATAAATGTCATTGCACAAATGTCCTGACTTATGAATTTGTATCAGATGTCTTAACGCAAATATGTACTTGTGTCATTTGTGTGATGATATCGGGGGTTGCATGTTTGGGCATCAGTCACATTTGCTGTAGATGCTACTGCCCTTGCTTTGGATAAAACTTTGGATTGTATCTTTCTGTTTGCATGTTATTATCATATGTAAGGTATGTTATCACAATGATTAATCCAAATGGATACCTGAATATAGCAATAGCAAAAACATTTAGATTATATACCACCCCATAGTGCTTTATAGCATTATCTGGGTGATTTACAATATCAGCATTATTTGCACATTGCCCCCAACAATCTGGGTCCTCCTTTTACCGACCTTGGAAGGATGGAAGGCTAAATCAACCTTGAGCCCCATCAGGATCGAACTCCAGACTCTCTGTAATCCCAAATATGTTGGGAATACAACTAGAGCAGCGCTGTCAAACTCCTGGCCTATGGGCCAGATGCACCCATATCCAGTTTGGCAGAGGGGAAAAAATTCCTGATACATCAGGGGACGCTGTGACAACGTAGTTTGACACCTTTGAACTAGAGTTTCTGACAATATGGACCAAAAGAAAGAAGGTGAAGTCTTCAAGCAGAGTTTGACTCCTGGCAATTTCATGGATAAATGGCCCACCATTGCCTTCTTCTGTGATGGCTTTTGATTGCTTAATCTAGTTTACAGTTCCCATCAGTGGTGGGATTTTTTTACTACTAGTTTTGTGGGCGTGGCCTGATGGGCGTGGCAGGGGAAGGATACTGTAAAATCTCCAGTCAGAGGTAGAATTTGCTGGTTCTCTGAACTACTCAAAAATTCCACTACTGGTTCTCCAGAACTGGCGAGAACCTGCTGAATACCACTTCTGGTTCCCATCTAAAATACCAACTAAGCTTCACCCCTCTTTAGCTTTCACAGCTAGAGCAGATTTGCCAGGTGCTGCAGTAAATCCTCTCTTATGGAAGATGAAGTCCCAAATAATCTGGATAATGTTAGGTTGAGAAGGGCTAGCTAAGAAAATCTGCAGAGGAGACACCCCTTTAGGAGGAGGGACATTATCTGCTATGTAAGATAAAATGGAAAGGCCCTTACATGGAAGTACTTATTGGAATATGAGTGTGTATATGTGTGATGTCTGAAAACCACTTTCTTAAGTTTCTCTTGTGTAAGCATAATTAATTCAGTCAATTAACCTAAACTGAACTAGTAACTTGGCTAATATTATTTCCCCCGGGGTGTAATTAATCCATTCAGTTTTGTAAAATATATATATTTTATATATATGAATATAAGTTGGCTGATCATGGTTTATTGAGTCAGCAAAGCTAGATGATGTCTATAAACCGTTTGAATTCTCTCTTATTCCCACATCAAAGCAGGTGCCCAGACTCCCAACAGAGCAGATCCTCAGATGGGATTTGGAGAAAAATCCAACGGAGCAGTGCCGCATATGGCTCCGAAGAGGATACGGATAAGAGAGAAACGCCACCCTTGCATTGAATGCGGAAAGCGATTCCGCTGCCAGTCAGAACTGGCCCTTCATCAAAAAGTCCACACCCGGCCCAAATCCTATAACTGCACTGAGTGTGGGAAACAATTTGGTCGATCCTCACACCTCACCAGGCATCAGAAAACCCACATGGGTGAGGAATGCCATGTCTGCACCGAATGTGGCAAGCGATTCCGCTGGTCAACAGAGCTAGCCATCCACAAGAGGATCCATGACATGGAACAGCCACACTACACCATGGATTCTGACACTTTGCTTCATTGGCCCTCCGAGTTCAATACAACCGAGAATATTTTGACAGGTGAGAAAGCACCTCCCAATGGTGATATGGTAAAAACTCATACAGTCAAGAAACCTCATCTTTGTCCCGAATGTGGAAAGGGGTTCCGGTGGCCCTCTGAACTTGCTACTCATCAGAAAACTCACAACAAGAACAAACACTACCTCTGCCCTGAGTGTGGGAAAGGATTCCAGTGGCCCTCGGAGCTGATGGCCCATCAGAGGAGCCACGGAGGCAACAGTTTGCCTCCCATTGCTGATTGTGAGAACAGCAATAGCCAACCACCTCATCCCCCTCACCCGGGAGCTGGCATGACGGAGAAACGCCATCTTTGTGGAGAATGTGGCAAGGCGTTCCGATGGCCATCAGAACTCGCCACACACCAGCGTATTCACACGGGAGAAAAACGCTACTTCTGTACTGAGTGTGGGAAGGGGTTCATATGGCCTTCAGAGCTGGCCGCTCACCAGCGAACCCACACTGAGAAGCAAGCTTACCGGTGCTTGGAGTGTGGGGAAATATTCCATGATCTCTACGGTCTCACGAGACACCAGAAGACCCACCTGGCAACCAAGGTCTATCCTTGCACAGAGTGTGGGAAAACCTTCAGTCGGCAATCTCATCTGACTCGGCATCAGATCACTCACACTGGCGAGAGACCCTATCCTTGTATAGAATGCGGAAAGCGGTTTGGACGACAGTCGCATCTCACTCGGCATCTAAGAATTCACACCGGTGAGAGACCCTATCAGTGTGGTGAGTGCGGAGTGAGGTTTAGGCGGAGACACAGTATGATGTACCATCAGCGGATCCACTTGAGAGAGGCTAGTGGAGGTCTGGACATGATAAACCCTCCTAATGCAGAAAGCCTTACCGATCCTCTCCAGAATCCTATCCACGTCACAATTTGACACGGGTTGGTAGGGAAGTAATTTCACAAGGAATGTGGGATGAGTGAGTGGGACAATTTGATCACCACATCTGGAAGAGATTCCAGTGGTTGTATTATTTCACCAGGGTTTGTATCACAGGCAGGGTCCAAGAGGCACACGTTTCAGGGTTCCATACAGCCTGACAGACAATACTAGCACAGGGCCTATGAATTGGGTAAACACTGCAAAGGATTCTGGGACAAAATGTCCACATTCTTCTCTGGCTATATGTTGCTTTGTAGTTGGGCTGAAAAACAGAGCTTCCCCCAGAAACAGATCTGGTAATTTGGTGGCCAGGTTAGCCCCGTGGTCCTAATTTTAGATTTGGCCCCTGCAGAGCTTTTGTGGCAGGAAAGAAACATTTGATAACCAGGATGTGTAACCCCTTTGCTACTCTTAGCAGGCAGAGCAGTGTTTGTTCCCTGGAACACATGGTTGTGGTGGGGTGTTAGATAGAATCTGTTTTCTCACTTTCTTCACTTTTTCTTTCTGTGGCACAAATGTCAAATCAGGATTGTTGTGATTAGAGGACTCTGTGGGGGCAAGTTGTTCCTTGCAGGGCAGGGCATTCTTTGCTTTTGCATTATTCATATGTAGAAATAAATCAGTAATACTTTTCCCACTCACATGCTGTGGCAGTGGGGAAAGCTGATCTTTCCCACTTTAAAAAATAATAATAATAATATAATAATAAAAACCTCTTATGCGCAAGAGTCTGATTTGGAACAAAATCCAACAATCTATTACTTCAGTGGCAATTCTTCATTTCTATCAATCCTATCAAGGCAAAGAAATCAGCTGATCAATCTAGATTTTGCAAAACAATATGGCAGTATCCAAAGATACTTTCTCTGAGATAACTTTTACTCTCCACGGCACTTCTGTTTTTCCGTTCCTCTTTTCTTGGGATATCTTGGGTGAAATTTCCTTCCTTCCCTGGGGGCCAAATTACTTATTTTTTAAAACTAAATAAGGCAGCATTTGGGCCTTCAGAGCAGTGATTCTCAACCATGGCAAATTTCAGGTATGTGGATTTCAACTCCCAGAATGTTGGCATGTTGGGTGGGAAATTCTGGGAGTTGAAGTCCACACATCTGAAATTTACCAAGGTTGAGAAACTCTGCTTTGGAGAAAAAAGAATAGACATCTACTTTCACTAGATTGCTATAGCGTTCCCCCACCTGGGACTTTGCAGGTGTCTAGAATTGCATTTTGTTTTATGCTTAGCCACCACAGTCATGCTTTTGGGGTGATGTGAGTTGTAATCCAGCACATAGAAAGATAGCAGATGTAGACAAGCTGGACCATTATTTATTTATTTTATTTTTTGAAAGTATCGGTTGTTTTTTTAATCCAGTAAGGCCTTGAATTAAAACAACTATATTGCAGTACAGTAAAATCACTACAGAATAACAGCTGGACCAAGCTGTTGTTTCACAATCAAATTATCAGAGTTGATGAAAGGCTCTAAAACCTACAATATTTCTAAAATGTCATGAGGAATGACAATATCCACACAGCCTCCACTGGACGGAGATCCAGAGTGATGGTTCTTATGAGAAAATAATTTCGTTTTGTACCTCCAACGTAGCCTCTTGATGGAGGAATGTAATCCAGCACATAGAAAGATAGCAGCTGCAGGAAGACTGCACTATTATTTATTTATCATTATTTTTTGAAAGTATTTATCAGCAGAGAGGGGTTTTCTTTGTTTGTTTTTTGTTGAAATCCAGTAAGGGTTTGAATTAAGACAAACCACATTGCAGTACAGTAAAATCACTACAAAATAACAACTGGACCAAGTGCTTTTTCACAATCAAATAATATTAAAATTATCCGAGATGATGAAGAGCTCTACAAGCTACAATATTTCTAAAACGTCGTGAGGAATGACAACATCCTTGCACCTGCCTGTGGAAGGAGATCCACAGAGATATTATACCTCCAATGTAGCTTCTTGATGGAGGGAATTATTAGAGATATGAAGGGTGTGGGTTGGAAAACAGATGTTGCCTTAACCTTCTAGCTCTGCATTTCTGAAATGGTTCAGCCCTATGTTTATTTAGAATTAATTATATTCCTTTCTTTCAGGCGGATTTACTCCCTGAAACTATTTGGACATAAAACTAAAAAAGCAAAATCTAGATAGGAAAAAAGAAGAATACATTTTTGTGACTCTGTTTTGTGAAATGTAAACAAAAAGAGTTTTGAAACCGAAAAGAAAAAAGGTAGTCTCAGGAGAATTGGAGACGAAAGACCAAACTTTGTGGCACTTTTTGTTCTAAGATTTTTCTTCTTTGCATTGGCTTTGTAATGATAAGGGAGATCTCCCTACCAACCTTTTTTTTTTAATCTGCCTTTGAAAGTATGGAATCCCTGAAGAATGAACATCCTTTTAGGAATAACTTCAGAATAAAGAACTTTCTACAATTAGTGCCTTGTGTGTGCAATTTCTGAAGAGTAGACTAACTTCAGGTTCTGGCCCTTACCGAATGGAACAAGATGATGCTTTGGGATGGTTCATAAAAGTCAGCAATACCTTTATTCCAAGCTGTGCTTTTTCACACCAATTCTGCATTTTCTGTTGACACTCATTCGGTTTGTTGAAAGAGAATTTGCTTTCTTGCAGAGAAATTCTTGGATTTAAGTGAAATTGAAAGGTGTTCCTGCAGTCATTGACTGTATTAAACGTATTAAACATTTAATCTGGTTACTTAATTAACCCATTTGCGGAGTTTGTACAATACATTGAATCCTAATCCTACCAAACAGCTCTGGTTCACATACCAAATGATCTGTAATTTATAATTCCAAATCCTTTAAAAAAAATAATCCTGTTTGTTTCTAAGGATGCTTAGAGGGTTATTTATGCAAGAGATTCCTTTGACTAGTACCTTGCAGAAGTCCTGCACAGAAACACCCATAATTTGTAGAAAAAGATGACCCTGAGTGGAAATTCTGAGTTTGTAACTTAATATTTCTGGTGAACACCAAATAAAAAATCTTAAATATGTTCACCTCATGCGATTCAAAAACTATGCCATTAGAGGGAGCTCAAGCTTTTCAAAAGAAACTGCTTTATCCTCACGATTTTAGGAAATACAGTAGTTTAATATATTACTTTTTAAATTTCCTGCTCTTTCTTTCAACAGAGCAACTTTGACAATAGCAGTAAGATATAAAGAAACTTCAGGTAAAATGCTAGAAACTATCATGAGTAGCTTAATATAACTACCATTATAGCATTAAAATGAGGCTGGATACAAAGAGTTGTTATGGTCCATTGACGCAACCTGGTTTCTGGCAGTTAAAGGATTAAATCCCCACAGTTTTGATTTTCAGAAGTAATTTGATACTGCGTTCTTCCTAAGGCTGAGAGAATTGAACCAAGATCATTGACAAGACTACGATTCAAGATCTCCAGGCTCCTCATCCAGCAATTTCATGCACTATATACTAACAGACACGATACAAAATCCTTAACTAAAAATGCTAGTCTAAAAAAATACTTTAAAATATGTTTGAATTGCAACAAATGGATGGGATTTCTAGCTGATTCTCTTCTAGTTTGCATTTTGATGGAATTTTTATCTGTGGTACTTTTTACATTACTTAAAACTTTTTTGTTACTATTCCTCCCCCTCACATTTACTCAGATATTGCAATTTAACAGTTGAAGAATTATTAATATTAAGGAAGCACTGTTGAGCCACATCAATTCTAACTTCGGCCAGCAAAAAAAAAAAAAAAAGCAAAAATCTGCCTGGCACGGAATACTCTGTGCCTCTACAATTAGCGCAGAATTCAGTTAATTGCTGGTTTATATTTAGTAGCAATCATTACAGAAAGACGATTTAACAGCTAAATATGATGCAACTTGACACCTTCAGCAAGCTTCCAGCAATTTCTTTCAGGGAAATGTTTTTTTTAACTTTCTCAGGAAACATAACCAAACAGGAATGTACAAACAGTGTAGTTGAAGAATAAAGATATTTTCAGCAAGATAAAAGTTTTGTGCAGACATCAACTGTTAACCTGTTGTTAATGGCAAGCATATGTAGCATGTAGCTGCTTCAATTAATGAATACAAATTAATGAATGCAAAATTCTAAAATCAAGTGCTTAAGATTATTACTAATTCATCTTGAACTGGATGTCTTGCATAGTATTAGTTTTAGAGACAAAATTCTTCTGCGATCATGGTTTACAAGTAGTTACAAGAATTCATGAAAACTATTAATCAGATCCTAATTTGTTCAGCCTCCACACTGAGCAGTTTTTGTTCATAGGTCAATGTACAAATTTTACCTAAGTAACCATGAAGTATTTTCTTTCCTAAGATCCTTAGAAATGTACAAAATGACTTGGCTCATCTGACATTGCCCAACTAGGCAAACACATCTTGGGCAATAGATAAGCACTTAATGGTTACAATGGATCTTTTTCCTAATCTCAATCATTTTTGCAAATATCATCTTTGCTAGCATTGTATAATACATCTCACACCAAAGAAAATGTTAGTTTGTTGGACTGTGACATTGTAGTGCCAACAATATTTTTATCCTAGGAACACTGGATTTGCTGTTGACAAGGCAAGCAATATTTTGTATCAGCAAACAAGCAATTCTCAAGTCTACACATAACATTTATAGCCAACAAGAAGCTATTTTAAATCAGTTTATCTACTTCCTGCTTCTTGCCCTCTCTATAATTCCCTATATCAATTATAGAAGATATGTGTGTGTATGTGTTAGTTTAAACTGGTGTCTTCCAAACTTAGCAACTTTTAAGATGTGTGGACTTTAACTCCCAGCCAGCCATGAAGTCCACCATCTTAAAGTTGCTGAGGTTCAGAAATACTGCTTTATTCAAATTCGGTGCAACATGACAGGTGGTTAATCAAAAGTCCCCAGTAAATACCTCATCAATATCAGAACTTAATAATTACCATTTAATAAAGAGAGTAAATATAACCATATTGTTTGCTTATAAGCCCCAGAACCATATCACTGCAAAATAAAATACTATTCAAATCCTCAAAGATGATTTATTTTTGCATATTTAATAGCAACTGCTTAAATGAATAGAATTCCTCTCATCTTTCTTTACCACAGTACACATTTCCATGGCTAGGATAGAAAACTAAAACAATTTGTGACAATGAATTTTGGCTCAGATTACACCCTTTTGTGTACTGAATAACTTCACCCGGTCATCCAACCCTGTAATTCTCTCCCTGAGAAGGAAAGTGACTGGACTTAATTGGGATGTGAAAGGGAAAGGATTATGAAAGATTATCCTTGCAAACATCATCCTTGCTTGTAGTACATATGGAAATACTACCCAACAAATGCTACTTTGATGGACCCGGACATCAAACCTTCATAACCCTTCTGGTGGCATCTTCCTTGCTGACGGACCGGAGACCGCGATAGTCCGCAGCTTCGATCTGTGCTCTCCTGTCGGAGGATCCTGAGCATCTGCTTTTGGGGCCAGAACCACCATGTAGGGGTGGTGAAGAAGGGGGAAACCATCAGTTGGGTCAAGGGAGCTGCATCTCCCCTCCTTGGCTAGGCACCACTCCCCTCCAAAAATGGCTGTAGCAGTGGTCAAATATGGCCACCCTGAAGAGGAAGAGGTAACTGGGACAAAGATTGCTGGAGTGGTGAAGAAGAGAACAGCATGAAAATCGGGCTAATCAGGCACAATATTTAAACATAAAGGTACCCTGGAATTAAAATTTTAGGAAATTTTAAAGAAAGATAATAAAAGCAGTGACCAGAGAAAGTGAGGGAAAAATTTTTTGACAGCTGAAAGTAGCTTTGAACTTTGAAAGGAGGAAGCCAGAAGAAAATACCTGTTTAAATTGGATAAATATATGATTTTGGCACTAAATAGGCATAATTAAAGCTGAACTTGACTGTGTCAAAAAAAAAAACCCAGTAATTGATATTTGGACTTACTGGATTTTTGAATTTTAAAAGCCCTAAATAGAGAAGAAAAAGGGTGGGGGGAGGGCGGATTTTGTATATAACAGAGTGCCACCTAGTGGTAAAAGAAAATGTTTGTGGCTCTTTTAAAAAATGAAAAGAAATTGTTTATTTAAAAGACATAGAGATAATGGTTAAATAAGGATTAAAAAGGGGGATTCTGCAAGGTGATGTGTAGTATTGATGTATTTGAAGTAATAAATTACTTAGTAGGAAAATATAGATTTTTAAAATGAAAAGATTGGAACTGATACTTTCATGTTATTAGAATACTTGTTCTTTGTTAAACTATATATAGAGAAAAATTGAATAAATGTGAAAAAGAGAAACCATGATAAGTTTATTAACTATGTTTAATGACTTCAAGAATATAGTTGAAATGAATTATGATGATTGCTGTAATGAGATTAATACCAGTTTTTATGATTAATTGAGTAGACTAATTTTTTTGAAATTATAAATGATTTGATGTAATTGAAGGGGAAAGTGCCATGCAGAATCTGACTTAAAATGTATGTGCGTTACGTAGTTGCTAGGAGATTATTGTTATTAATCTTTAAGGTGATAATTAAAAAGTTAAATGATTATTGGGAATTAAAGAGGAGTTAACCAAATGATATATAAGGTATAGGGGTGGTACACTCTAATTGGTAACTGTGGGGGAAACTTTTTTGAAATATTTGAATTGAGAAGGAGTTTTTGAAATGATGAAATAAGAATATGCGATGAAATTTCATACCAGACAGATAAAAGTATACAGCACAATAAATATGAAGATACGACAGTTATTTAAAGTTAAAAGAAATAGGTTAAGAAATGAATAGAAAATATATAAAATAAGTTTGAGAAAAATACTTGAGAAAATTAATAGAAAATATGTAAAGAAATGATAGGATATGAAACTAAATGTGAAAGATGAATATGTAATCAAGGTTATGTTTGTATGGAAATGTGAAAACCTGGAATCATGCTGTTCACTAAAAAAGATGTTTTTGAAATGTGGAAAAATAAAAAACTTTTTATAATAATAAAACAAACTTCATAACCAACAGTCCCTGTGAAGGAATTCATAATCTGGGGTCTCAGGCACCTTATTAGGACTTATCCAGCTGGCATTCATTTCCAAGAGGATCTGACTGATTTTAAATATATAAAATATTTAGCTAGCTTGTTTGATGTCTCAATTACAGAAGTTAGTCGCTGTCCCAGGGACCACTAATATGAATTTTGACTGACAGTGGCTTCCTGATGGTGGGAGAGAGAGAGAGAGAGAGATAGATCTGATCTAACTGCTCTCTCTCTGTGTTTCTCTCTCACATACACACGCACACGAACACAAACAAATTTCAGAATTTCAGAATTCCTTGGTCCAATACATTTGGAGATCACCATTTCTGAAAGATAATTACGGTTATTCTTTGCAGATATTTTTACAGGGTCCAGCAATTTTCCAGCATGTCTCCCACCTGTTAGGAAAGCTAGGCTAGGATGGAGAGCTCTACTTTCTCTAGAGAACAAACATGGGTGCAACCATTTTTGTCTCTTAATTTCCAGTTCAAGTTCCATTTAGTCTTCCCAGTAATAACATGTTCCACAAACTATTCTCAGTTTATAGGCTTAGGTGTCTTCTAATTGATGCTTTAAAGATAAAAACTAGGATACAGTGCTATCACTGATCTTTTAGAATATATAATTCATTTGTGGGCACCAAAACCAAGAATCTTACCTCCAGGATCTTTAACTTTCTATCTCCAACTCCCAATTATTCTCTCACAAACACAGATTAGGCCAATCTATTTTGCGCGCGTGCACACACTGCGCATGGACACACGTGCCAGATGCGCACTTTGCACAGGTGCAGAGGCGTTCCCATTCGCCTCCTGCAAGCCTGCACTCTCCTGGTTGCTTCAGCAGCTGCCATGTGGCATTCTACTCTGCCGCACAAAGCAGCCGCGCTTCAAAAGCAGAGGATAAAGGTGACTATGGGAGCCTGGGTGGGTGAGTGGGCGGGCCCAACAGCAGAGCGGTGGAGATAATTGGTTCAGTCTCTGCTGCTCATCAGCGCTACCGGCTTGGCAGAAGTGGGCCGAACCGGTAGAATGGAACTGAAAAAAAAGTGACATGACAGTTTTTCACACTTATGGCTGTTATCAGCATTCCATAGTCATGTGATCAAAATTCAGAGACTTGGTACCTGACATCAGTGGTGGGATTCAATTTTTTTTTACTACAGGCTCTGTGGGCGTGGCTTGGTGGGCGTGGCAGGGGAAGGATACTGTAAAATCTCCAGTCGGAGATGGTATTTGCTGGTTCTCCAAACTACTCAAAATTTCCGCTACCGGTTCTTCAGAATGGGTCAGAACCTGCTAAATACCACCTCTGCCTGACATGTATTTATGGCGGTTGCAGCATCGTAGAGTCTTGTGATAATCTTTTGCAACTTCCTGACAAGCAAAATGAATGGGTAAGACAGATTCAATTAACAATTGCATTACTAACTTAACAACTGCAGTGATTCACTTAACATCTGTGGCAAGAAAGGTCACAAAATGGGGCAAAGCTCACTTAACGAGAGACATTTTGGGCTCAGTTGTGGTTGTAAGTCAAGGACTACATCTAAAGGGATTCTATGGATCAGGCACCCTCCCAAAAGTTTGTGAGTGAGTCTCTTCACCTCTTACATTTAGGTTAGTTAGGTTAAAGTTTAAACACACTAAGACTATGCAATCCAACTCCACATTTCTCTTTTATAGGTTAGGCATACAGTACTCGTTTTATTGTGCTTTGGTTTATTGTACTTCACAAATATTGTAGTTTTTTTTTACAAGACCTTCCACCAACAAAAAGGTTATCACTCACTGAAGGCTCAGATGATGATTAGCATTTTTTAGCACAAAAATACAGGTAATCCTTGACTTACAACAGTTCATCTAGTTACAACGGCACTGGAAAAAATGACATGACCATTTTTCACACTTACAACTGTTGCAGCATCCCCACGGTCACATGATCAAAATTCAGACCCTGTGTAAATATACCTGTTATATGTACTGGGAAACAAAATAATTCACTGGGAAACAAACAAAAAAAACAATTTGTCTCACTTTATTGTACTGCAGGCCACTTCTGCCAACTATTGGCTATTCAAATCCCATCAGGCTCAAGGTTGACTCAGCCTTCCATTCTTCCGAGGTGGGTAAAATGAGGACCCAGATGTTGGGGGCAATATGCCGGCTCTGTAAACCACCTAAAGAGGACTGTAAACAGTGGTGGGATTCAATTTTTTTTACCACCGGTTCTGTGGATGTGGTGTGGCTTGGTGGGCATGGCAAGGGAAGGATACTGCAAAATCTCCATTCCCTCCCCACCCCACTAACCTGCTTTCCAGCTCCATTCTCCTGTGCAGGGCAACCAAAGAAGACCCAGCCGATCAGCTGGGACTCAATGGGAGGCAGAGAATAGATGAGGGCAGGGCTAGTCAGAGGTGGGATTTGCCGGTTCTCCAAACTACTCCAAACTTCCACTATCAGTTCTCCAGAACTGGTCAGAACCTGATGAATACCACCTCTGGCTGTAAAGCACTATGAAGCAGTATATAAGTCTAAGTGCTATTGCTATTTATTGCAATATTCACTTTATTATAGTGGTCTTGAATCAAACTCCAATATTTCTAAGTTATACCTGTAGTTAATTAATACAAATTAATCCTACCAAGTTTTACAATGTAAATCCTGCAATAAAAAATCATCTTACTGTAATGGCATTTTCAATATTTTAAATATCAGAACATTTTTTTTACTGACAAGGAGATTCATAAGACCTGTGGTGCTCTTGGAACTCCTGGTTGTTCATTAATATATAGGTTGATATAATCTATTCAACACATCTATCAAAGAAGGACAAAAAAGTTAATGTTTTTCTAAGATTGCCTTTGCCTTTGAGCGTCTACTTATGCCCAACAGGAGTAAATCGAAGTACTTGCCTTCACTTGTCCAAGTCCTTTCTTTGAAACTCAGAAAAAAATAGCAATGGAAGTAGACCATATACAGGACAAAGAACCAAATCTGAATTCCAGTCAAAATTCATCAAAGAGAACTGTTTCATTTTAATACTAGAGTTCTGCCCTCTAATATGCTAATAAATAAATGTCCTCCAATAAATAAGTAATAAGCACCTGAGCTTCTGATCTTGTGATGTGCTCTTTCTGTGCAAAGTTGCAAGTCCAAATCTACGAAATCATAATGACGACATTTGGGATTTGTAGAAGTTACTTAAAAGAATTGCTTTGTTAATCAAGGTCCAGAAAACACCATTTAAAAGCAGGATGGCAGGGGGCATGTTTTCCTCCTAGGTAAAGGGAAGAGGGGGCTTTGAAGGTTGATCTAGTAAATATGGTGTCTAAAACCTTACAAAGCTGATATTAATGACATGTCTTTAAGAGGGAAAGAAGTTCAGGCAAGTTTGAATGCCAGAAACTTTAAAAAAAAAAAGAATTTGATTTCCAGCCAACCTAGTATCAAACACTGTGCCAAGCATTGCAAAACATGTGTTTCAAAAGGCAAAGCCCTCCCTATTTGGCTGGATCAGAGAGGCTGAATCCAGTTCCTCTTAAATACTCGCAGTTCTTCTCAGTACAGACTAAAGTTTCTCTGCCGCTTCACTTATCTGCCTCTGCTCCAGTTCCCAAGCCAAAGCCCACCAGGAGGCCAGCCAGCTTCATCCAAGCCAAGGTAAATATTCCAGACAGCTGAGACTCTTCCTGCTTGGCTGCACTTTGCAAAAGGAAGGAAGAATGTGGGTCATGTAAAATAGAAGTTTTGAATCAGAACTGGTTGGGTCTTTGTGAAGGGCTGTCTTAAAAAACCCCTCTTCCCCAATATCTGCGGATACAAGCTGGTGAGTATTGCTGTTTTCTTTAAAAGAGGGACTAGCATGTGAAGATTGAAGCTGCTTTGATTACCCTTGAACAATTTTTCACACTTCTTCTCATCAAGAGTAAATAGATGTCACACTAGCAGTTTCTTAGGAAAACATTTTAAATTATAGCATATTTGGATATCAAGGTTAGAGATATGCTTTCCTTTTTTTCTATTCCTTCTCTATGTCTTCCTTACTATCTATCTCCTCCAGCTGACTTTTCAATCCTGCGTCCAGGGTGACAGGACTATCTCTATATGTCAGATGTTCTGAAACATTTGGGGATGCTTCTATAAACTGCTATTCTCATGAGGCTCTGAATACAGGATAGCTGCTGGGTTGGCTTGCAAATCTCTTAACTCTGGATGAAAAGAGTTGCATTTCCTCAGAATGCCATTCTCCCCTTTAATCCATTCTCAGCGAAAATGAAGCAAGAAGAGGCACGTCCTCCATTGGTCCCTGTTAAGGGGATCCCCATGATAAAGTATTTTGCAGAAATCTATGATGAAGTGGAAAGATTTGAAGCACATCCAGATGATCTACTGATCTCTACATATCCCAAGTCTGGTGAGTGATGCTTTTGACTTCACTTTCTTAAATGAAGAATGTAAATGCTGGTGATTCATGTGTGGATAATTTCCAATTCTCTACTTTCCCTTTGTTCTATCAACACACAAGACAATAAGTTTTAGGCAGCTGGAAAGCAACTTTTTCTTTGAGAGGCTGACTATATACGCCTGAAAAGAGACATATCTACTTACATTACAACTGCTCTGCATCCCAATGATTTATTGCCCTTAGTTTTGCATCATGAAGGCATTTTTCTTCCTACTAATTTTCTTTTTTGCAAAAACATATCTTGTTGCTAAATTATAGTATACTATTAACAGATTGCTAGGTGCATTCAGCATAGCTGACATGCAATTTAATATAAAACAGAATTATTTTGGGATATATTATTGAAGCAATTTCATCTGTCACTTAAAATACATTTTGGTTAATATGTGGCCTAAACATACATGTGAAAAAGAGACACAATCAGCATGAATTTGCAGGCAAGACTTCACAGCAGGACACCTCTGGATAGCTTCCAAATATTTATTAGCAGAACTCTCATTTGATAAGAAAACCAGTGGAATGTTTAATTTGATATGCCGTTGTTAGCTACTAGAGACTGCCCTTTTAAGTGGTGTGTATGAGGGAGAACAGGGTGTTTAGTATGCATTCTCACTGCCTGCTTGTCCACCCTCCCTTCTAAGTTTCTTTCCCGTACATAGGACATAAAAACCACACTTCTAGTAGGAGGAGAGCTGCTTTGCTCATGACTGTCCAGAAAAGCAGATAGTCCTAGACCAGGGGTCCCCAACCCCAACCCCAGGCCATGGCCCACTACCGTGCTGTGGCCGTTTCATAAGTGAGCTGTGTGATCTGTTGGCTGGTGTATATGTGCAGGTGTTCGTGCAGCTTGACTTGCACCAGTGGCAGCCATGCAGCTCAATTTACAGTGGGCAGGCTCACCACTTGCATTGGCCAATTCCCTTCTTCCCCTTCCCCTGTGGGAACACCAAGCCATAAAGTTGGGGACTCCTGTCCTAGGCAGATGAACCGGCCTCCTGTTCTCTTCCCTGATCTCAATTGCTCACTGAAAACAATGTTTTCCAAAAGCATTTTTCATTTTGCAAATACAATCCTGTCATCGTTATCACTTTTATGGGTCACTTTCTTTACAACTCAGGAAACTCATTAGAAGAACATTTCCCCACTCTGATTGATGTCACTTCTTGTTTATCCTAAAAAAAATCTTGGGATTTTGGACTTTTCTTCTGCTCAGGCCAAAATCTGGGAGAACAAGCAGCTAAGGTTACTCTGGATTGAACAGTCCTAGGGACAGATGCAAGGCAGAACAGCCAATTCTAAACACAATGGTCTATTTAAACTGATGAAAACTTTCATAATGTGTTAAACAGACTGATTAAACAAATAAAACTTTTCCTCAAACTTTAAATGGGGTACACTGGTTATCTTAATATGTCATGAAATGGAATGTGGAAATAATTTTTCTTGTTATTTAAGATGATGCAATCTGAATATTCTGTCTTGTACGTCACAAAATTGGAGTAGGGCAAGCTCTAGTTTTGAAAGTGATAGATGGAATGTTCACATGGAGAATCCGTGGATATGCGTTTTGGCAAAGCAGAGCTTTCCCTGACAAAGGCCCAGATTAGGAGACTGTGCAGACTCTTAATCTGGGCTTTTCTGGGCTTCTCCAGGAGTGATATGATAGCAGTGTTCCAATATTTGAGGGGCTGCCACAAAGAAGAGGCAAATCAACCTATTTTACAAAGCACCAGAAGGCAGGACAAGAAGCAATGGATGGAAAATAATCAAGGAGAGAAGTAACCTGGAATTAAGAAAAACTTTCTAACAGCGAGACCAATCAACCAGTAGAACAGTTTGCTTTCAGAAGTTGTGGGTTCTCCATTACTGGAGACTTTTAAGAAGAGACTGGATATCCACTTGTCTGGAATGGTATGGGGTCTCCTGCCTAAGCAGGAGGTTGGATTAGAAAACCTCTAAGGTCCCTTTCCATTCTATTATTTCGTTATTCTGTTATTCCATTCTAAAATGAATTAGGGTGGGGGAAGAAGTTTAGAGTAGCAATAGCAATAACATTTAGACTTATATACTGCTTCACAGTGCTTTACAGCCCTCTCTTAGAAGTTTACAGAGTCAGCCTGTTGCCCCCAACAATCTGGGTCCTCATTTTACTGACCTCGGAAGGATGGAAGGCTCAGTCAACTTTGAGCCTGGTGAGATTTGAACTGCCAAATTGCAGGCAGCTGGCAATCAGCAGAAGTAGTCTGCAGTTCTGCATTCTAACCACTGCGCCACTACAGCTCATACTCATGGATAGCCACACACTAAAAAATTTCAGGATAGAGTAGTAGGTTAGAAGGTTATTGCTTTACTTTGGCAAGATTCTGTCCATTAGCTTATAAGCAAATACAGGTTTGGACCTAATTGGATTTCACTGGGTAGTCTTGGGCCTGACAATAATAAACTCTTTTAATTCTGTTGATCTGAATTTTGACTTGGAAGAAAACTGAATCAGCATGAAATTTACTCTGCCTGGTGCCCAATCTCTATCCTCCTCTATTGCTTTTGTTTAATCTCATTTGCATTCATAATAGATTAATAGGAAGAGAGCCAGGTTAACCTGTGATAGCAAAACAAAAAACAAAACAACCTAAAACTATTTTGCTTCTCCACTTGTAACACTGGAATTGAAGTCTGGTGGAACACCAAAGGGCAGGATCAGAAAAAAATTTTAGATGGATAGGGATATCCTGCCACTCCTGATTGGCACCTGGAGCAGACAATTTCACTCTAATTCAAGAATGAAGTGTTGAGTAGGAAAACACCTTCAGAAAATAGTGGATCTAGAAAGTCTACACACCCCTGTTAAAATGCCAAGTTTTAAGATATAAAAAAATCAAGCCAAGATAAATCAATTCATATGTTTTTCTACCTTTAACATAACATATAGATAGTCCTCAATTAATGATATAATAGAGCCCAAAATTTCCATTGCTAAGCAAGTTGTTAAGTGAGTTCTCTCCACTTTATGCCGCTTTCTTGCCGCAGTTGTTCAATAAATCACTGCATTTGTTAAGTTAGTAACATGGTTGTTAAATGAATCTGGCTTCCCCATTGACTTTGCTTGTCAGAAGGCTGCAAAAAGTGATCACATGATCCTAGGGACACTGCAACCATCATAAATACATGCCAGTTGCTGAGTGCCTGAATTTTGATCACCTAACCATGGGGATGCTGCAATGGTCTTAAGTATGAAACAGAGTCATAAGTTACTTTTTTCAGTGTTGTTGTACCTTTGAAAGCTGATTAAACAAATGGTTGTATGTTGAAGACCACCTATACAAGCTATATAATTCAATTGAAAAACTAACTGAAATCTTTTAGGGAGAAAAATAACAGTAAAAAACTTACAAAAGTGTGATTGCACATTCTTAAACTAATATTTTGTTGAAGCCCCTATGATTTTATGACAACATTCAATATTTTGGGGTAAGAGCCTATGGCTCATTTTGCCTTGTGCATCTTTGCAAAAGTGCTCAAAATCTGTCAAATTGTGAGGGCATCTTTTATGCAAGGCCCTCTTCAGGTGACCCCACAGATTTTCAGTTGGACTCTGGGCTATTTCAAAACTTTGAGTGAAGCTATATTTTTGTTGATTTGAAGGTGTGGTATGTCGTATTGAAAGGTGAAATTTCTCTTCCTTTAACATTTTAGCAGAGGTCTGAAGCTTAAGTGCCAAAATTGTCTAATATTTGGAACCATTCATAATTCCCTCCATCTTCTCTAAAGCCCCAATTTCAGCTGAAGAAAAGCAACCCCAACCTATAAGAGTGCCAGCACCATGCTTCACTGTGGGGATGGTGTACTTCTCGTGATGCACAGTGTTATGTTTGTTCCAACCATACTTTCTGGAATTACAGTATAGTCAAAAGTTCAACCTTGGTCTCATCAGACCATAGCATATTTTCTCACATCCTTTTCTCAGCCATGATGTAGGTTTTTGCAAAATGTACCAAGGCTTGGAGGTTTTCTTTCTATCTTGCCAAAGGCATACGATAAATATGGAAGATCATTGTCACAAATAGTACTCAACCAATACTTGCCAGAATTTCCTACAGCTCCTTAAATGTTGCTGTAGGCCTCTTAGCAGCCTCTTGAACCAGTTTCCTTCTTGTTTTTTCATCAATTTTGGAGAGGCATCCATTGGTAATGTTGCTATTGTGCCATGTTTTCTACACTTGTTGATGACTGTCTTCATTGTGCTTTGTACAAAAAATTTCCATGGCACTATGTTCCATAGAATATCCAATGCTTTGGACATTTTTTGTACTCTCCTCTTGAGTGATACCTTCCAACAATGAGATCCAATCAATTTCAATCAGAATGGAGCTGGAAGGGTTCTTGGAGGTCTTCTAGACCAACCCCCTGCTCAAGCAGGAGACCCTATAACAGGAGTGTGAAACTGATGGCCTGCAGGCTGGATGCAGTCCATGCCCACCCAAACTCCACAAAGGGAACAAAAGTCACGATACAGCATGTGATGGCAACTTGATGCTGTGAGTTAAACACCCATGCTTTATAAGCTTTTTGCAGACCATGGCTTTTGCTCTAAGAGGCAACTGAGTAAATATCAGAAAAAAATCAATTTGAACTTCATATGGGCTTGATCAGAGCCAGTTTAATTAATGGCAGATGTATGCTGACTATTATTTGGCATAGTTTTAATATGATTGGTTAATTCTGAATACAGCCACATTCCTACTCATAAGAGAATTTGAACACTTATGCAGGTTTTTATTTTATTTATTCCAGGTTTTTGTTTTTGTTTTTTCTCCCTGAAAGATTTCAGTTTGTTTTTCAATTGAATTGTACAGCTTATATGTTATATTAAAGATGTAAAAATTCTGAAGTGATTTATCTTGGTCTGACTTTTTTTACATCTCAAAAACCTGGCATTTTTAAAGGGGTGTGTAGACTTCCTACAGCCATTGTCTACCTGTTGTAGCTATAACAAGAATCATGTTTTGTTTTAGGCAATAATCTGTTTCTTGTAAATGATCTTGGTTGAGCACGTCCAACCTTCTTGTGCTTTTTCAGGGACCACCTGGGTCAGTGAGATAATAGACATGATCTACAAAGAAGGCAGTCTGGAAAAATGCAAAGTTCAGCCCATCTACATGCGAGTCCCTTTCCTGGAATTTGCTGTACCTGATGTCCCTACAGGTAAAACATCATAGGTGTCTTCCCCTCTAGACAGCAATTGGGGAGAAGAGGGTTGGAGTTGGAAGTCTAGCCTGTGAGGTGACTGTGGGAGAAGGAGTGGCAGAACCTGGGGGCAAACTCAAAAGTGGTATCAGCCTAGAGTCTCTGCGTAGCTACAAATGGACTAACTAATTCTAACCCTTCTTGAATTCTGTTGATGTTTATCTAATGCCAATCTAGTGCTGTTAGTTGAGTAGATTCCTGTGCACAGGCATGAATAATAAATCAGTTTAGTTGGAAGTTCATGTGTGGTCCTACTCTTTCGCACCTAACATTGGAATAGAAATACCAACGGTGAAGATGGGAGAGGATGCAAACCATATAATATGGTAGATTTACTTGCAGACATCTCCATAGCTTTTCCTAATGCTAGTTGAGATATCTGCAAGCAAATTCATCCAGAATATATCTGGTATGGATAGGGTAATGGAGGGTGGAGAGAGTATGGGAGAAGTCTCTTCAATTATTCTTTTTTCCCTTCCAGGCATTAAACTGCTTAAGGAAGTACCCCGTCCATGTCTAATTAAAACCCACCTTCCTGTCCAAATGCTCCCCAAATCCTTCTTGGAAAAGAACTGCAAGGTGAGAAAAAATGTTAATGCATGAAGAACTAGTCAATTGAACATAAGAACATATTGGTAATGAACTTCTGCAAATCATTATACACCATATCCTCAGAAATGAAATGCATTATCAGTTTAATCAACTTTCTTGTTTGTCACTCAACAGGTTATCTATGTGGCCAGAAATGCCAAAGATGTGGCTGTCTCATACTATTACTTCTACCAAATGGCAAAAGTACACCCAGAGCCTGGAACATGGGAAGAATTTCTGGAGAAGTTTATGGATGGAAGTGGTAAGTGGATAATAAATCCTTCCAAGCATTGAGTATGATATTAACCCTCCTTGATATGGTAACTTCAAAATATGATACTGATCCTATTACCTGCAGCTAAGAAAGCAAATAATGGGGGTGACTGGGTACTATTTTGGGGGAAGACGGCCTTGTAGAAGCTCTTGGAACTAGTGAGATGTTTCACAGAAATTATGTGAATGAGAAGGTCAGATCAGAACCTTCTTCTTATTATTATTATTGTTAGGGATATAAGTCGCCTAACAGGTATTTGGGTTAGAAATATATAAACCAGGATAAACATTTTCGTACTACGTCTTTAAGAGATTGCAAAAACTGCAGCTGGGTGTGGTTTTTCAAACAGCCATAAGATGGAGCCAGAAACCTGGATTGTTTTAGTCTGAGTCTCAGAAGAGAATGTGAGTGCATCTCTGTTTCCTTCTGTTGGAAAGTGTTGCCGTTCCTCCATTTTTCCTAATTGACTGATATTTTCTGGTTTTAATGTAAATCTTGCCGAACTGTTTTTTGACACTGGACTTTGATATTTGGATTATCCCTGGATTGAAAACTGACTGATTTAACTTGTGAATGACTTTGGATTGCTTATTTTGGACTTTGCTTAAATCTTTCTGGAAGTAAAAACCTATATTTACTGTACAGTGTATCTGTGTGCTCTGTGTGTATTATTCCAACACTACTCTCTATACGTCTCCCTGTATGCGCTCATTCTCCTAACGGGGAATTACCTCAACACTGGTTATGGGCCCAGACCATACCAGGCTCAGATAACTGAGAGTTGGTGTGAACACACAATACTATATACAGACAGCTGTTTACTGTTTAATTGTGGTTTACTATCCTGGTAAAGATGGCACAAGTCACTTCAACATGTCTATCACTGATAACCCGGTTGGATGGAACAAACTATGTTTCCTGGTCTATGAAATGCAGTCTACTTCTGCGTAAAGAAGGTTTATGGAATGTAGTTCAAGACCCACCAGATGTAAATGCTTGGGATCCAGATAATGAGGATGATGCCAAGAAGATTGCTGACTTTAAACAGAACAATGAACGAGCTCTTTGTATAATTGGACTAACACTGAGTGACCAGCAGTTAGTCCATATCCGTGGAGAAGAGTCTGCTGCTAGGTGTTGGGAGAATTTGAAGATGATTTATGTTCGTGACAGTGTAGGTGCACACATACATCTTACACGTAAACTGTTTAGAGTACATCTTCTGAAAGGTGGAGATATGTTAGCTCATTTGAACTTCATGAAAAGAACTTTTCAAGAGCTACATGAAAAAGAACTGATATTTTCAGAGCTACATCAAGTTTACATCATTCTTTCCTCATTGGATGAAAGTTATGGTGATTATGTATCTTCACTGGAAGTACTGCCCAGAGATAAACTGACATTGACTGGAAGGTTGCTAGAAGAAGCAAGAAGACGGCTGGATAGGGACCAACTGAGGAAGGAACAACCACAAGAAGAGGATTTATCTTCAACTGCCTATACTGTTAGGAAATGTTTTTCTTGTGGGGCTAGGGGACATATAGCTAGATTCTGTAAGAAAAGAAAAGGACAGAATACTGGCAAACACCAGAAGGCTTAGAAGAATGTTAGAGTAGCTGTGTCTAGCAATTCAACTGTAAACTATGATTTGTTGGGGGTGATAGTGGAGCATCACAATGCATTACTAAAGATAGAAGCAGGTTTGTAAAGATATCCACAAGTAAACAACATGTATCATTGGCAAATGGATGGAAGATTAAAGCATCAGGTGAAGGTACTGCATATTGTTCTTGTATAAACGAACATTTAACTATGTTATATAAACTAAAATTTTATTTATTATCAGTAAGGGCTTTAGTTAATATTAGTTATGTAGTAACCTTTAGGGGAGATAACTGTATAATAGAGAAAGAGGGTAAAAGTGTTACTGCTACATTAGAGAATGATTTATATGTAATACATGATGATCAGCTGAAGATGGCTAACTCAGTTTATAACAATGTTAAGCCACATGATGAATGTATACATTTATTACATAGACGTCTAGGGCACATTAATTTCAGAATGCTCAAACAAGCTGTTAAATTGGCAGAGGGAGTAAAATGGAAACCCTGTAGCAAGTATTTACACTGTAATGCTTGTAGTCAAGAAAAGAGTAAGGTTACTCCAGCAAACAGACTAAATGGGTTTAAGACCAAAGAACCTTTAGAGGTTGTTTTTGCTGACATAATTGGTCCTAAAAAAACAAGTTTAGGAGGTGCCTGTTATATTTTGAGTATAATGGACCATTCCTCATGATACGGTTTCTGCTATCTTATGAAAAACAAAACAGAAACATTCCAACATTTCTTTAACTGGCTAAGGTTTGCTGAGAGAAAAAGGAAAAGTAAAATAATTACTTTAATAACAGATAATGGGACTGAGTTTGTTAACAAAAGATTCCAAACTATGCTGAAATTGGCTGGTGTTGAGCATAAATGTTCTGCACCTTACAGACCACAACATAACTCGTTTATAGAACAAAGAGGGCAAACATTACAAGCCATGGCTCGCACTATGTTATCTGATTCAGGTTTATCTGAAACACTGTGGGGTGAGGACATAATGTGTAGTAACCATGTTTTAAACAATGTAGTTAATACAACAGCTGGAGAATTGCCATTCGTTGGCATGGCAGAAAGCCAAATTTAAGCTATCTACACACATTTGGAGCTCCAGCTTTGGTGCATATTCCCTCACAAGTAAGACTGAAAGGGCAACATAGAGATAAGAAGTTATTTTTTGTGGATTATGAGGTCAACCATAGATTGTTTAGATTTTGGGATCAAGGCACAGCTCATGTTTATTGTAGTGCTAGTGCAAAATTTCTCAAGCACATTGGATGGGATAAACTGGAACAGGAATCCAGCAATGATATTATTATTGACACCCAAATAGTCCCTAAAGATGATATCAGTAAACAACAAATAGCCATTAAAGAGGAAGAACAGGAGGAAGTAGGAGAACAGGCACAGGAGGAGGTAGAAGAACAGGAGCAGGTGGCACAGGAAAGTCCACCAGTAAGCCCTGTATTACCAAGACGTTCAACCCGAGTAACACAACCACCTGATATATATCAGGCTAGTGTTGTATGCCAAGTAAATACAGTTCCAAGTAACTATAGTGAACTAAAACTGTATCCTGCTAAGGATCAGGCTGCTTGGCAGAAAGCAATGGATAAGGAACTGGAATCATTAAAAAGACTGGAGGTATATGAAAATGTTAAGTTACCACCAGGTAAACATGCCATAGGATGCAAATGGATATATAAACTGAAGACAGGTGTAGATGGGACTGTTACCCATAAAGCCAGGTTAGTAACACAAGGGTTTAATCAGACAGCAAATGACTACAATGAGGTGTTTGCACCTAGTCTGAAGGCTACTACATTAAG